GTATATAGTATAGTATATATAGTATATATATATATATATATAGTTATATATATATATATATATATATATATATATATATATATATATATATATATATACTTATATATGTATGTATGTATGTATATATATATATATATGTGTGTATATATATGTGTGTGTGTGTGTACATAGACACACATAGATATATGTATGTATATGTATATATATATATATATCTTGCGTATACTGCACTGAATGATACTACCTCCCTTTTTTATTTATTTACGAAACTTCGCTTTACTACATCCCTTCCCTACAGAGCCGGTGGGTGTACGATGGGGCCATCGAAGACCCGTTCTTCGAATTCTTCGTCAAAGTAAACGCAGACATCTCCGACGACAGCGACCACGCCTGGCGGGAAAAGCACGTGCTTGACCCTAAGTTGGTACCAAACTGTGTTCCGTTGGACACCGCACGCACTATACTATTGGTAGGTAAATCCGTGTACTTTATACGACAACGGTGTGGGGATAGCGCCGAGATTGTACCGCAGGAGGTGCGAGAGGGGGGCATTGAGATGTTCAAGTACGGTCAGCCTGGAGGATTGCAATCAGGTATGTGTGTGTTGCTTGTTGAAATTGTAGCAAGTGGGTGACATGACTATGTATTGGGATAGCTTTATTTATTTATTTGAGATATAGTTCAATTGAGTAAATACGTGCGCTTTTTATGGCGACGGTGTGGGGGTGGTGCAGAGATTATACCACAAGAAGTGCGAGGGCAGACATGTGTGTGTGCGCTGCTACATGATAAAAGGACTTGCAATTGTGTCAGAATGCCTAATATCGAAATACTTGTGTTTGTGTACAGGTAGGTATATTAATGTGTGCTCACCATTGCAACATCTGCGCCTCTTCACAAGCGCCGGCCTTCGTTTTATGCACCACACGGGACTCGTGATCTATTTTTGAATTTGTACTCTGATATACTCTATGTCTGCATGCCAACCGGGAGCGCAAACGAAGAAATTTCCATCAACATCACATGGATGCTCTGTATGGTGCAGAGCTATCTTATTCCCCTTAAAGTGTTCTGTCAGTGGTTGGTATCTATATCAACGGCAAATAGTGTGTGGCGCAAAGATTCGCAACCGCCGTGTGTACAGTCGGAGTGTGGATTCGAGCGAGCCTACGATTGATGGTTCATGCCTGTGCAGCTACTTTGCTGCGAGTTGTACTTGATTCTAGTATGTCGTCCACCTCGCACGCATCAATAAGTACCAAGCTACGCGATATCAGGCAAACCGTGCATCCCCGTGGCGAACTAGTGCACAACTTAGAAACCTACCAATACAACAAAAGAGTAGGCTGTCCGTATTCCCACAAGGGTAGTCAATGCAAAAGCACGCATGAAAATAACTATTTCATCCGCGTACGTAGTACTCCTTGCAGCGTATTGAGCTTCATATCTGTATGATACCCTCCTATAACTCACAGCACTGGATCAGGCGTATTCCATCACCGGTGCTCGGCTGCTGGACATCATGCACAACAAGTTCCGTCTGAGTGTGCACATGGTGGCCTTGAAGAAGTATCTACTGTTGGCTCAGGGGGATTTCGTACAAGCCCTTATGGAGAATGTAGACCGCGAATTGTCGTGCCCGGCTGAGAAGCTGTACCTACACAATCTGGCGAGCACCATACAAACCGCAGCACAGGTATGTAAGCGTGGTTGTATTAGTAATTATTGTCTAGGATGTTCAATCGAACACATAAGTGTTTCATGTGTTTTAAATTCATCTGTGATGCTTATCTGACTATACTTGTGTGCTGCTGTAATGATATTCATCTGGAATATCCAATCTAGTTTACTTGTACAGACTGATGGGTATCGTGATACCGCGGCAGAGTGTGTCTATATATTTCAATGTATGGATCGTACTCAGGGTGTTGTACCAACTGCAAAATGTACATCCTGTAGCGCACGCTATGCTTACTGCAGCAGTGGTGTGCAAGTATCTGCACCCTTACAATCGTCTTTTAACGCATTGATTTGTGTACACGTATGTACTTTGGTGGTTATCATACCTACTGAGGATGAGATATGCACTTGTGGATAATCTTTGGTTCCTTGAATTCCATTCCTACCACGGTAGAGGTGAGCAAGTATACGCGCATCTATTAACCGTTTCTATGGAGCATTCGTTCATGTATACATACACAATCTGACATAGTCCACATCAGCCGCAATCTTCTCTGCAGTTTCCCCGTGTGCACACGATCGCAGTTCGATACTATGTGGTATACCAGTTGCTTTAAACGTCGTAGTCTCCCGTTGGTGCCGGCAGCCAAACTCAAATACGATATATCATTCTGATACCGAGAGATGCGACTTCCAATGTGCTTTCTCTTTGCGATGGTAGTTTACATTCGAATACGATATTTTTGTTTGATAATTTATAATCGGTCTTGCTTGGCCGTGCACAGGTACCACAGGCAAATAGAATAGTATATCTACATACCACCTACTTCATCGTCCATGCGGTTACCCGTCCTGTCGGTAGCCACAGGCAAATACAAAAGCATATCTACATAATTTATCTTCAGCATAATTACCCATCTGCAGGCAACAACATGCAAATATACAAATACATCTACATTTCACATAATTTATCTTCCATATAAAGCAACCACATGCAAATATACAAATATATCTACATTCCACATGATTTATCGTCTATATAACTGCTACCCCTTCTGCAGGCAACCACTTGCAAATTCACGCATATTTTATCATACCAACCGATGTATTTTCCATGTATCTACCTTTATAAAGGCAACCACAGTCAAATACGAAGACGCAGAGGTGTTAGAACGCCTGGATGTGCGACTAGAACAAGTAGGGCGCGAGGCATCCACAGGCTACGATCTGTTTCTGCTGGACTATCATGTGCACGGGCCTGTGAACGTCGTGTTCACCGGCACGGCTATGCATCAATATCACCGCTTGGTAGGTGTATATGTAGAATCCACGGGGTATGCATATCTGTGAATTGGTGCTTTAGTTTGGGTATGCGCAGTTACTTCGCGTGTATGTGCAAATTCCCTGTAGTTTGCGCACTACAAGCGCCGATCTATGTCTGCTGAACTACCATTTGTGCACTGACCTGTGGATGTCGTATTTACCACAAGGCTATGCACCAATATCACCGCTGGGTAGGTATATGTATATAATCGAATGGT